CTAGGTGGTTGCCCGATATGGAGACAGAGAGGTCCAGGAAGGGGAGAGAGGTGTTAGAGATGGTCCAGGTAAACTTAAGGTTGGGGTGGAAGGTGTTAGTGAAGTGTATGAACTGATCGAGCTCTTCGTGGGAGCACGAGGCGGCGCCGATTTCACAAGTTTCAAAATCTCCCCTCCCCCTACCACATCCCAAAACCAGTCCAGCTCGTCCCTGCCTCCCTAACCTGTTCTTCCTCCCACCTATCCCCTCCTCCCACCTCAAGCCGCACCTCCATCTCCTACCGACCAACCTCATCCCGCCCCCTTGACCTGTCCGTCCTCCCTGGACTGACCTATCCCCTTCCTAACTCCCTACCTACACTCACCTTTACTGGCTCCATCCCCGCCTCTTCAACCTGTTTGTTTCCTCTCCACCTATCCTCTCCTCTATCCGCCTCCCATTCTCTCCCTATTTATTTCAAAACCCCCTTCCCCTCCCCCTTTTCTGATGAAGGGTCTAGGCCCGAAACGTCAGCCTCTCTGCTCCTATGATGCTGCTTGGCCTGCTGTGTTCATCCAGCCCTGCACCTTGTTGTCTAGTGTTCTGGGTACCCAGGTTTGAACCCCGCCACAGCAGATGGTGGAATTGAATTTAAAAAAACCATAAAATCTAGAATTAAGTATCTCCCGATGACCATGAAACCATTGTCGGAAAAAACATCGATCTAGTTCACCAATGTCCTTCAGGAAAGGAAACTGCTATCCTTGCCTGGTCTGGGCCTATGTGTGACTCCAGACCTACAGCAATGTGGTTGACTCTCAGATGCCCTCTGAAACGGCCAAGGGAGCCATTCAGCTGCATCGAAGTCTCAAAGAAATAAAACCAAATGGATCACCTGGCATCGAGCTAGGCACCGGAAAAGACAATGGCAGAAACAGCCCTGTTGACGCTGCAGTGTCCTCCTTACTAACATCTGGGTGCTGGTGCCAAAATTGGGAGAGCTGTCTCACAGACTGGTCAAGCAACAGCCTGATATAGTCACACTCACAGAATCATACCTTACAGACAATGTCCCAGACACCACCATCACCATCCCTGGATATGTTCTGTCCCACCAGCAGGACAGACCCAGCAGAGGGGGTGGCACAGTGGGATACAGTTGGGAGGGAGTTGCTCTGGGAGTCCTCAACATTGACTCCAAACCCCATGACTTCTGGTTAAACATGGGTAAGGAAACCTCCTGATTACCACATACCATCCTCCCTCAGCTGATGAATCAGTACTCCACCATGTTGAACAACACTTAGAGGAAGCACTGAGGATGGCAAGGCCACAAAATGTACTCTGGGTGGGGGATTTCAATGTCCACCACCAAGAGTGGCTTGGCAGCAGTACTACTGATCGAGCTGGCCGGGTCCTAAAGGACATTGCTGCTAGACTGGGTCTGCGGCAGGTGGTGAGGGAACCAACAAGAGGGAAAAACGTACTACACCCCATCCTTACCAATCTGCCAACTGCAGATGCATCTGTCCATGACAGGATCGGTAAGAGTGACCATCTCACAGTCCTTGTGGAGACGAAGTCCCACTTTCACATTGAGAATAATCTCCATCGTGTTGTGTGGCACTATCACCGTGCTAAATGGGACAGACTTCGCACAGATCTAGCAACATAGACTGGGCATCCGTGAGGCGCTGTGGGCCATCAACAACAGCAGAACTGTACTCCAGCACAATCTGTAACCTCATGGCCCGGCATATCCCCCACTCAAACCATTACCATCAAGCCAGGGGATCAACCTGGTTCAATGAGGAGTGCAGGAGGGCATGCCAGGAGCAGGAGCCGGCATACTTGAAGATGAGGTGTTGACCTGGTGAAGCCACCAAACAGGACTACTTGCACGCCAAACAGCGAAAGCAGCAAGTGATAGACAGAGCAGAGCTGAGCGATCCCACAACCAACGGATCAGATCTAAGCTTTGCAGTCCTGCCACATCCAGTCATGAATGGTGGTGGATAATTAAACAACTACCTGGAGGAGGTGATTCCACAATATCCCCATCTTCAATGATGGAAGAGCCCAGCACATCACTGCAAAAGATAAGGCTGTAGCTTTTGCAGCAATCTTCAGCCAGAAGTGCCGAGTGGACGATCCATCTTGGCCTCCTCCAGCGGTCCCTAACATTTACAAATACCAGTCTTTGGCTAATTCACTCCATGTGATATCAGGAAATGGTTAGAGACACTGGATATTGCAAAGGCTACGGGCCCTGACAACATTCCCGCAATAGTACTGAAGACTTGTGCTCCAGAACTTGCCGCTCCCCTCGCCAAGCTGTTCCATTACAGTTACAACACTGGTATCTACCCGACAATGTGGAAAATTGCCCAAGTTATGTCCTGTACACAAAAAGCAGGACACATGCAACCCGCCCCATCAGTCTATTCTCGATCATTAGTGAAGTGATGGAAGGTGTCATCAACAGTGCTATCAGGCAGCACCTGCTCAGCGACGCCCAGTTTGGGTTCCACCAGAGCCACTCAGCTCCTGACCTCATTACAGCCTTAGCTCAAACATGGACAAAACAGCTGAACTCCACAGGGGAGGTGAGAGTCCCCCGACATGAAGGCTGCATTCAACCGAGTGTGGCATCAAGGAACCCTAGCAAAACTGGTATCAACGGGTATCAGGGCGTCAAACTTTCTGGTGTTTGCAGTCACACCTGACAGATAGGAAGGTGATCGTGGCTGTTGGAGGTCAACCATCTCATCTCCAGCACATCTCCGCAGCGAGTTCCTCAGGGTAGTGTCCTAGGCCCAACCATCTCCAGCTCCTTCATCAATGACCTTCCCTCCAGCATACAATCAGAAGTGGGGATGTTCGCCAATGATTGCACAATGTTCAGCACCACTTGTGACTCCTCAGATACTGAAGCAGTCCGTGTCCAAATACAACAAGATCTGGACAACATCCAGGCTTGGGCTGACAAGTGGGCAAGTAATATCTGTGCCACACAAATGCCAGGCTATGCCCATCACCAGTAAGAGACAATCTAACTACTGCCCCTTGACATTCAATGGTGTTACCCCACTATCAACATCTTGGGAGTTATCATTGATCAGAAACTCAACTGGACTCCCCACATAAACACAGCGGCTACAACAGCAGGTCAGAGGCTGGGAATCCTGCGGCGAGTAACTCCCCTCCTGACTCCCCCCTAAAGCCTGTCCCACCATCTACAAGGCACAAGGCAGGAGTGTGATGGAATACTCCCAACCTGCCCCTGGATGAGTGCAGCTCCAACAACACTCAAGAAGCTCGACACCATCCAGGACAAAGCAGCCTCCGCTCGATTGGCACCACATCCACAAACATCCCACTCCCTCCCCCCACCGACGCTCAGTAGCAGCAGTGTGTACCATCTACAAGATGTGCTGCAGAGATTCACTAAAGATCCTCAGGCAGCACCTTCAAAACCCACAACCACCTCCATCTGGAAGGACAAGGAGATGAGACATATGGGAACACCACCACCTTCAAAACCCCCTCCAAGCCACTCACCATCCTGACTCAGAAATATATCGGCCGTCCCTTCACTATCGCTGGGTCAAAATCCTGGAATTCCCTCCCTCAGGGGCATTGTGGATCAACCCACAGCACATGGACTGCAGCAGTTCAAGGAGGCAGCTCACCCCCACCTTCTCAAGGGGGTAACTAGGGATGGGGCAATGAATGCTAGGCCACCTGTGGGTGAACGTTAGACGTCATCCCTGGGTTTGAGGGGTTGTAAGGTTGGATGTTCACCCAGGGCGCTTTTCACCAGCGCTGGCAAAGGCAGGGCCAAGGCAGTGAGAGCTGAATTCAGAAATACTCACCGTCCAGCGGCCGGCACATAGATTCTGCAGGGCCCCAGCCACAGCCTCGAGGACTGCAGGGTTCTTAGACTCCTTCATCAGCGAGAGGTACAGGCGGACCACCTCGGGCTGATACAGCAGCTCGTAACCTGTCGGAGAGCAGGGTTTCAACATGGTGACGGCTGACACTCCTCATCTCCCTCTTCCCTGCTCCACCGCTCGCTGTTAACGCACGGGACTGAAGCCAGACCTCGCTATCCTATGAAGTCCCCTCGTAATGAAACGTACCTCCGCGAGACCTCTCTCCACCTCCCAAAACGAGCTTGGCCTCCAATTGCTAAACCGCACCTCGCTCCGTCCCCTCTCCTGGACCATGCCAGCCTTCCAGTCCTGTGGTGACCCAAAACCGTACACCGTGCTCCAAGGGTGGTGCCGAATCCCCAGCATCAGCTCCCTACCCTTACAAACCCGCACCTCCCCCTAATAAACCACCACTCCCCCACCCCACCCCAACAAGAGGCTGGTGAAAGGGATTACTCCCGTCAGGTCCATGCACCGTCAGGGTGTGTCATTCCCAGGATTCCCGTCTCAGTGTCCGATTGCGTTTCTAATGAACTTGCTCGTTCCCCGCTGCTCCGGATTGAATTCCGCGGCACCGCCCACTGATGTCACAGCTCCCACCCCCACCCACCCTCACAACCCCAGCTTCCCCTGCACAGCCAACATTCCCAACCCTCTGCAGCTAAAGTAACTCCTTACCTTTTGCCGGAGTGTTCCTCTTCGGAATGTCCGCGTCAGCAATGGGGTCTTCAGCACCTTTCCTCCCTGAAGTGGGGAGAATGGTTTGGCGGGGGGCGCGGGGGGGGGGGGGGGGGGGGG